CCACTAAAACCCGACATCCCTTCCCCCCGCCCTAGAGGGACGCCGCAGGATCGCTTGCGCATAACTACTACGGCGCCCCGGCGGCAGGTCTGCCTAAATACTAGGCAGACCACCAAACCAATGGGGCTGCTCCACAGTCAACTCTGCTACGTCAGAGAGGTACCCGGAGCAGCCCCATAAAACCAAAACACCGCCCACCGAAGTGGGCCACCTCCAATCGGCTGCAGAGGACAGGGAGAGCGGCAACGAAACACCGACACTCCTCTTCCCCTGCAGCCCCACCGCGTCCGCCATCAAACGGTGGCGGCCCCGTCTAGGCCGCGGAAGGTAGGGAGAACGGCGCACCGAAATACCGGCACTCCTCTCCCGCCGCGGCCTACCCCTCCGCCGAATGCGGGCCTGCGACCACAGTCCCGCAACCGGCACCCATCATCCGGTTGTGGGACCAAGCGGTCCCACCACCGGTGGCCGCAACGTCTTCGGCTCGAGGCCTAGACGAGCGGCCCCATCCAAGCCATTTGGTCCGCGCCGGATTTCTCCGGTACCACCCGCCCCTCTAAGCGGGTAGCATGCCCCTATCCGCCACCTGGGGACGCGCCCGGTAGGAGTTGGCTTCTCCCCCGGGCATTGTTGGGGCTACCTACCACTACACCACTTAACCTTTAATGCACTAGTATGTCGGAAACTTGGACGAATATATTTTTTTTTAATTCCTACTATATTTAATATGTATGTGTATTTTATGTGCATAGTATTCTTTTCAGTGAATACGCTCATTATCTAGAGACCATGAAAATCTCTTAGCATTTACTTCGACCTTCTGAGTTTTGTTATACATATATGAAACCAAAGAATTGTGGTCATCTACATGTAGTAGCTTAGCCACTAGTGCAATTTTCTGTCCAATGTCACATCTTGTAGAGAAGCATTCTATCAATGAAATGACTTATTTCGATATCTTTAAATTTTAGTTCAAAAATCTAGTTGCAAAATGACGAAATTGGGATTATGTACCTATAGCAAAAAATAAATAATTTGTTATATTAATTAATTGATATATCATCAGCAATGTTAAGTAATTTCGACTGCTATTTATGTATAACAGGAAAATATTGTTTAAGAGTTGATGATTCACATATATTTTATTCAAGCATTTCGGTCAAGCCATAAACGAAAATTACGCTTTAGAAAGAACCTTTTTAAGGGTACTAATCGCCTTAGAGTGTTTATCATCTAATACTCGTAGTAAAGTTTTACTATTCATTACATCAGGCAGCTCAGTGTGTGCGTAATCTAAAATGCTATAACTATTCCTAATTAAGATTTTCTTTTAGACGTTCACTAATGGCTCTAGATTATTTACATGACTCTACATATTATACCAATTTCAATGGCAAATTAAAGACAAATTATAATTCCTCAAAATCCTTAATCTACGAGTATACATATCATAAAATTGTAACTAAGCCGAATCTGTACATTAAATATTTTTTGGAAAATCTTATTGAAATAGATATTATTATCGATACAGAGGTCGAATCTATAGTTTTTAGAATTTTTGTCTGTCTGTCTGTCTGTCTGTCTGTTACCGCATCACGGAAAACCCACTGAAGGGATTTTGATGAAATTTGGTATGGCGATAGCTGGTTATCCGGGTCAACATATAGGATACTTTTTACCACGAGAAAATATCTCATTTCTGAAAAAAAATGCCAAAACTGCATTGTAAAACTATACTAATCTGTAAAACCTAAGAATTTGGTTTTCGATCATCTGGACGCGGGCAAACAAATATGTGTAAAATGAACCTAACTCTATATAATAATAAAACTATTATTACCACTTTATCACAGTTCACTCATTTTAAGGAATACGTATAATATTTTACGTTCAAATTAAAGCCAAAATGATATTTTATCAATTCGTTAAGTAATTGTCCACAGCAGAATGTAGGTAATGGCTTCTATTAAATATGTAAGAAAAATGAATATAGGTTTATGTAAAAATATCCAATTAAAAATTTATGTACATTTCAATACGAACCTTTTTACATAATACGATGATATAACTTTATACATTAAAATATTTTTAATATAACCGGAAAAATAAAAAAATATTTTGACCAATCTTAATATCACCGATCCTAAAAAAACTGGTATCAGTTATCACGTTCTTTTATTTATTCTGTCTAGAATCAAGGTGTTTAGCCGCCTTTTCCAATGCCCTCATATTGTATCTACATTTATAGGTACATAAAATAAAATTGTAACTAAGTCAATTCTGTACATTAATTTTTTTTTAATTTTTAATCTAATTGAAATAGACATTATTATCGATACAGAGTCCGAATCTATAGTTTTTAGAATTTTTGTCTGTCTGTTACCGCATCACGAGAAAACCACTGGACAGATTTTGATGAAATTTGGTATGGTGATAGCTGGTTATCCGGGTCAACATATAGGATACTTTTTACCGCGGAAAAATATCACATTTCTGAGAAAAAATACAAAAACTGAATTGTAAGAGTATACTAATCCTATGTAAAACCTAAAAATTTGGTTTTTGGTCATCTGAACGCGGGCGGAGCCGCGGGCAATGCTAGTATATGTATATACGAGTACATTTGCGATATAATTTCTCTTTACTATATTATTATTTGTCCAAATTAAGACATGATTTAGTGTGATAGCTATGTCTTGGTTTTTTTGACAAATTTCACGTTGAAGTGGAGTAAAAATGCTATGATATCCTAATGAACGGACCAAAAATCCTTCAACCTTTGTGTGGGCGAGAAATGTGAATGAGGTTATGTCAGAGGTCAATGAATTCCGACAATTATGAGGACATGTCTATTTGACCAGTCTTAATTGCAAAGCAAGAGTTAACTCTTACAATATTACATGGACGTAATCATTTAAGTAGGTATAGGTATATGTAATTAACACATCTTTCTTTTAATACATAATTACTAAAATGAACGATCATTTTTGTTTTACTGGCGATAAAATTATGCAACATAACATTAAGCTAAAAATAAAATTTAAATATACAGACACAGGCGTTGGGCAGGGTGGAAGTAACTCGTCTGAGTCGCTAACTTACTTATGGCTGATTTCCCCTAAGCATGGTTAGGGGGCTGTTAGGGGACAGTTTCTGTTTCACCGACATTTAGGGGTCACCTAAAATCTAATTGTTAAAATGCCACCTAAATATAGGTACTATAAATACGGACTCTGACGATGGTAAAACGAAATTTAATTTAGGAGCTAGTTTATGGGACTTTTAAGCTAGGAATCCCATACGTGGTAGCTTATGGGATGTTGGTGAAATCGGACATTATACTTTTAATTTTATGTTAGACAATGTGTACATATAGTTGACTATAATGAAAATCATAATTACTTATAATTAACTTATACGACTATGATGCAATAAGCGTATTACACTAAATTAGTGTTTAACAAATATCTGACAACATATTTTTGTGTCTTGCGCTCATTTCTGCTGAGGGTTGTCACAAGTTTGATTCCCTATAATACAATTAAACTGAAGTTTAATTTATAACAAGTAAAAATATTTAATAAAAATTGTAAAATGATAAAAAATCGAAATATAGGAAGTATCGATATCAATCACTCATGCTCTTTCCGAATATTGAGATCATTTAAGAGAGAATCTAAGTTACATTTTTATTGTAACGAATTATATTTATTTCATCGACTAAAATATATAAACTGTATATCTTATTTACTTAGTAAATATAAAAAAAGACGTTATATATGTACGTATAAGATTGTTCCATAATAGGACTGGCAGCCCTCCTCATTTCCATAAAAATTACTTAACATAGACATTGATTACGTCACATCATTAAATAAATTATAGTACACATTACTAATAGTACCTCACATTATTAATTAACAATAGAATACGATTACCTTCTAGTTTTCAACTTTGAATACCCATAACAATAATTTAACAAGATATTTTTTCTTTATTTATGAATCTTATCATTCAAGGTCAAATATATTTTTGATCGATATATCTTTACATGAATCATCTATTTGGTTAAAGTTTCAATACCTATTTTTTTTAAATATCTTTTTATAAATAGAAGTGACTCAAGATTAATATTATATTGTAGGTATTCAATAAACATACCTACAGCATATAGGTGCCTACGTAATACTTACAAGGATACGGTCAGAAAGAGTCAGCAAATGATATCACCATATTATATATTATCATGTAGGAGTAGCTCGCACATATTTTCTTTTTTTATTGTTTGTAACGAATTCTTATGTAAGAAAATTTACCTCTAAGCATTGCTCGTGACGGCAACCTGAGTTGTGTACCTAAAGCTGTTTTATGCGCTACTATTAAATTACGTTTCAACTTGACAAGTTACAATGTAAGGGTATGTACATATGTACGTGACAAATCTAAAAACAAATAAAGAACTGCATCACGAGAATAATTTTTGCTGAGCTGCAGTAATAATAACAATAATTTAATAACATATAAATCAGTTACTTGGAAGTTGGAATGTTGCTTACTTATGTTTTGTAATATTACTCGTATAAGATTGTCAAATTTGGTTTATTAGATACATCAGCGACCTAGACATTCATTTGCGTCCCCGCATACCTATTGTCTTACTTTCCAACTCTGTTTATCTAATTTTTTTAACTCTAATTGTTAAATATGAAGACGTTCTATATATAATACTCGTATAGCTTTCTCATAGTAAGGAATGCGACCCCAATACAGGTTGTTTGATTTGTCCGTGACGACCAATGACATAAGAAACAAAAAATATCAAAAGACAAACGAGTCTACGAGCCAAAATACGCTTGAAATAAAAATATGATCTGCTAAACGTTCACCAAGGAAGTGGTACGCTCGCACGTTACCTACTTGATAAGACCACTGTAATTAGTCGTCGCGGGTGACTTAGTAAAATTAGTTACATATAGGTAGTAATATTAGCATTATCTTACCAACTGAACGATTTTTAATAAACCGGGCGGTGTTTTGAAATAATCTACGTTGATTTTGATCCAGTCGAGTGCACCGCCTTGTTGCTGCTGTGGTGGCGCCTGTTGCTGTGTTGGTTTATTATGGTCTACGGTCACCACTGTCTCGGGAGCCATCATCCTTATAGCAAATTCCTCTGGTTAGATAAAAAAAGTTGAAGTTCCAAGGCACTAGGCACTATCACTTAAAAGCTTGCTCACTAAAACTCGTGATTCATTTTTGTCCCACTGTAGCGAGCGTACGATAGATCGTGCGGTGCGCAACTGTAGAATGACGGGGAACGCTGAACGAGAATGGGTATTGGGTAGCGACCGTCCTCGAGTCGCTCGTCGCGCTATAATGTGCGGCTTCGACACCAGCAGCTGCCCATTACTCGATAGTCGATACCTATTCGCCCGGTGACTGAATGGCGGAATGCTGTTAACAAACATAAGGCTCTTGCTTGATCTTCTATAAACGTAAAAAATTATTTAAACAATATTTTGGTTTTGAATTTATACTTAATATTCAAGCTATAATCTTTCCATTCTTAAATTATACAAATAGTAAAAATATTCATCAAACACAAGGAATGCGAAGATATTATATATTTCATCTCGATACCAAGGCCGAGGTGTGCCCTAAGTTGTTTACCTTCCAGCATACGAAATTGTGCAATAAATTATCCGAATAGCAATACCATTTGCATTACACACTAGTTATTTATTTGTATTATTTACTGATTGTGAATACCGAATCCAATAGTATGTAATTTCAAATTTAAAGCTATGTTAAGTTAGTGCCATTCCGATTGCTACAAAATTAGGCATCAACTTCCCTGTTGAAAAACACCAATAGAATCCCATCAAAAGCGACAAAAGCCACTCAGAAATCAATAAATATTTATTGGTTTCTATGTGGCTTTTGTCGTTTTTGATGGGATCATATTGGAGTTTTTAAATAGGGTTACTCTTAACAAAACGCCTGCTAAAATTTTATTGCAATATTAACATTAAAACATTTATTAAATTTTTTGGATATTGCAAATTCTCTTCGCTATTGGTAATACTAGGAGTACAAGATCAAGACTATTTATTATTAATTGTAACAGCTTCTATTAATTTATGGAATTACTAGCAGAAATAGCGAAGTGTAACAGTTTATAAGAAAGAATATTGTTCTCTTTTGTAGCATCCATCGCAGATGAGCAGTGCTGATATTTTTTTGTGAAACTTGCGACGATCAATATAACTAAGTTTAAACTAAAGGATAGAGATCCTGAAGCAATCGGTTATATTTTGTAAATAGAGGTAAGTTAAGGAAATTAAGGAGGCAGAAGTTATGGAGGCAATATTCCCATGTATCTACCTATGAATAATATTCGCCATTTTGGCTTTTCCAGACCTCCTGATATTTACAATTTTTGCGTCGGCTTCGACATTTTATTTAACGTAAAGGCTTAAGGGTCCCCTACCCTTCTGAGTTCATAACAAGAAACAATTTTGATTCTCTCAAAGTCTTCTGTTCAAAAGTATAGTAAATCTTCCTTGCATGCCAAATCAACACCAAACTTCCTCGTTCTGCGCATCAGAACGATAGTTCAAGTAGTCTCATTGTTAGTGATGTCAAAACTTGAGACACTCACATACTCCATAAATATTCCACAATAATACACTGCCAACAAAGGAAAAAGTTGCATTCCCCTCTGTAATATCCCACTACAGTTAACACGGAACAAAACTTAGGCATCTACTTGTATGTATTCAGCCCTTTTTAACGTCCCACTGCTGGGCGCGGGCCTCCCTTCAGTACCAGGGGAATAAAGCCATAGTCCACTACGCTGGCCAAATGCGGGTTGGCGGACACATGTCTTTTGAAAAATTGCTAGGTTCTCTCGGGCATGCAGGTTTCCTCACAATGTGTTCCTTCACCGTTAAGACAAGTGGTAATAATGTTGGAAATGATTCGCACATGAAAATATCAGAGGTGCGAGACCCGGGATTTGAACTCGCTTCACTCGGTTTCCCAAGAGAGCGCGTTACCACTGGGCTACCACTGCCTGTTTTCAAGCAACTTCAAAAAGGAGGAGGTTCTAATTCGACTGTATTTTTTTTTATGTTTGTTACCTCAGAACTCCGTCATTTATTAACCGATTTGGACAATTTTTGTGTTGTTTTAAAGTGTATACCTCCAGATTGGGCCCATAAAAATTAAAAAAAAAACATCCCTAAGAGTGGAAAAATAGCTAATGATAAATTTAACCTACTTCTAATTGTCATATTGACTTGAAACTTTGCAAGTGTTTCTATTTCCCTTGATAGTACAGTGGTTCGGTATTGTTGGTAAGATCTGATGGTAAGGCCAGAAGATGGATAGGTGGAACTCTTCAACGGCTAATAGTAGATACTTTGAGTTTGGGCTTATTTTGTTTGATTTGACAAGCCTAACACGTTACAAACGCATTTTAGAGACAGAATTTTTAGTGTTACTAATAAAAGTGAATTTTACTTTGTAAGTCTTCATATTAAAATTAGCATCAAAGTAACTTAAACGGTTTAAGCAAATATTTTATTAAAACACTTTCATCTCACTTTGCTACTACTATGTCTACACTAAAAAGGGAAAAATAAAAACTTTTTAACAAAAAATAAAAACCGACTTCAAAAAAAGCACTAAAAAGTAAAAAATAACTGATTGGTAGTTTTTATTTACTATACATACCTAATCAATATTCGAAGTCGGTGCCAGCCAATATAACGCAAAGCACACCTGACACCGGTTTTTAATACCTTTTTGGAGATTTTTTTGTCATTTTAGCGCGAGCGAAGCTGCGGGTTCTGCTAGTAGTACATACTTTATAATAATGAACGCTTTTATATTTACACATATCATAAAATTGTATTTAAGTCGAATCTGTACATTAAATATTTTTTGGAACATCTTATTGAAATAGTCATTATTATCGATACAGAGGCCGAAATTCTAGTATTTAGAATTTTTGTCTGTCTGCCTGTTGCCGCATCACAGAAATACCAATGGAGGAATTTTGATCAAATTTGGTATGATGATCACTGGTTATCCGGGTCAACATATAGGATACTTTTTACTGTAGGAAAATATCTCATCTCTAAGAAATTGATATTAAATGTTGAAACGTAAGTAGGGACAAACCCGAACAAAGCGAAGGCGAGTCACTAGTTATAATATAAAACTGGAAACTGAGTATTTAGGAGATATGGTGATTGTGGTATTACCATACTAATACCATGTTTTTGACTTTTATAAGTTCCTGATATTTTGACACTGTTACAAACTCCAGTCATGTGTGTTCCTTAAGTATAAAAACACTATCAGTCACCACACAATCGATTTTTTTAATGAATTAGAGCATGAATATGGAAATTGCAAGATTTGGATATAGCTGATGAACATACTTTATTCTGGGACTTTGTAATTTGCTGTTATTGACAATGGTAATTTTATTATTAGAATAGAAACAAATTTAGAATTTCTAACATAATATATGTCTGTAAGTACATGTTTTTTTTTGTGTTTCGTTATAACTAGGTAATTATAGTTGCTGATTGAAAATTTATAAATAAAACAAAATACTACATTTTCAAATGTATTGGATTAACTTAGAAAAAGAAACCTAATATTTTCCCTCCAAGATGTTTCCTTCTGGCTTCTTCATGATCCATAATACCTCCACTAGTTGTAAGAACAAGGTAACTGAAAGTATAATAAAATATATAAAATAAATATAAATTAATAATTAAAAGTTTATTTAAAAGTAAAAGGTAAGTATTGTTGACAACAGCATTAACAATGTCTACTCGACAGTAGCATCAAAATGTGCTATTGACTTATATTATAGCACAACATATCAAATGCCGACCAACAAGAACTATTGGCGATCCGCGGTAGTTGTGCATATATAATAAACACCTTAATTAACTTAACATAATTGTGCATATTTTCATAGATAATTCATATTAAAATTAATATGAATTCATGAATCAATGAATTCATATTAATTTTAATATGAAAATTCTAATAATTAATATAAGGAGTAATATGTTATTAGTTTATATCATTCAATTTCAATTTATACATTATACATAGATAATTCAAAATTTATTAAAAGAGATGATAAATATAATATTGTAGTTATTTCCATACTTTAAATTTATTCCTAAACTTACATACACCGAAGTATTATGATTAGTAACAAAATTATTCATTTAATAAAAAGTTTTCAATTTTCCTGATAATAAAAATAGCTTATAAGCAAGATATAAATTATTGTTTGAATTATATTTATATTAAATTGATTTCCAAAGTCTCTATGTAAACATTGGCTTAGGAAACAATTCACGTATATTCTCCCTTTATATTCTTTAAAATGCTTTTACTTAATTTTCTTCTTGTATCATTAATTAAATATGAACTTGTTGTCAAATCAAAATCGTAGTAAATTAAATAAATTTTGAAACAAACTATTACAAGTAGGCTTTTATGAATATACATAAAAATTGAATAACACAAATTCATTTTACACTGCTAACTTTAAACATACCTTTGTGGGAAATAATAAACATTAGGTTTTCAACTTACCCAAACTGCCGGGATGGAAGAAGGTTCGTCCACCTCTCAATATCATTAATTGGTACGTCGAACCGAGGCGAAATTACTCCACATTTGTTCAATCTGCCCGTAAGATTTACAACAATTTTGCCAGCTCGGTGATCGTCCACAATTTCGAATTCACCAATATAACCGTGCTTCATCATCACTGTTAGAAACTTGACGATAACTTTAGAACAAGGCCGGATAAGCACTTGCCGCTTGCCCCTTTTTTCGGCATTGTGAATTGATTTTAAAGCGTCACTCAATACGTTCATACGCACCATGGCTGAAATAATATATTTATCGTTAATTTTACATGTCGAGGTTGGAAAATTGGACAACATGAGTAAATGTCAAAACATAAGAAAACATACTGTAATAACTTAAAAGTTCACTATTATAAATGAAATATTATTTCGTAAGAAGAACACAATACACTGCGTCACATAAACAAACATAAGTTTAAATAAAAATGCAAAGAATACTCTGATTACCTAGGATTTAAAACCCGCCTCAACAATCCGTAATGACAGGTTATCCCAAAAAGAAAGATATTTTTTTCGTATTTTCGGGTTGTCAGCTTACAGTTCATAGATTATAAATGTCACTTCAATAAACAAAAAAGGGGGAAAATAGTGGATATTTCCTACATAAAATCATATGGGTAGGCTTAAACATTTTTTATAATAAATTTCAAAAATTTGGTCATAATTATAAATTATGCTATATCTAGTCGTCTGTCGTACTAAACCGTATCAAATTTTTGATTTTTACCGTTATCTGTAAGTTAAGATTTTTTTTATAATTACATTATAACTACAATCCTCGTTCTCCCAAATTCTTCTCGGCAGCGCTTGAACACATATTTAGAAGTCTCGACTGGCGCAAATACGGACTAAACATCAACGGTACGCAATTAAACAATCTAAGATTGAAATTAGAATTAAAAAGAAATTAGAATTAAACAGTTTACAAACTGTTTAATTCTAATTTCTCATAATCAAAGAAACCTGCAAGAGATGTTAGAACATCTTGTGTATGAAAGTCAGAGAGTAAGACACTCAATGAATGCTACAAAGATCAAAATAATGATAAGCCACATCAAAACCCTCATCACAATTCACAGTCAAAGGCAATAATTAATAAAATTGAATGTATGTGTGTAAGTTGCTAAGAATATACTTACCTTGGACAGACTACATCACCATAATTGACCTTACAACAAAGGAAATAAGCAACAGAGTACAGCTGCCATGGAAAGGATATTGATCCATTAAAAAAGTGGTCAAATAGTAGTAGTATTTTGATCGATGCCAAGGCAAAATAAAATGACGGCAGATCCTAAGATGGGAAGACCATCTGGCAAACGGCTGGTGTAACTTGGAGAAGAATGATGTCAGGAGAATGTGGCAAGCTCTAGCGGTTAGACAAGGGTCGATAATTTTTGAAACCAAAAAAAACCCTAGTATGAAAGCCATTGGAAAAGGAAGAGAATATAACAAAAATGAAAGGGAAATAATTTACGGGAGATCTGAGGTCGGGAAGTGGGAGGTGGTGAGTTTTAAGGGTAAAAAACGGTTTATCTCAATTTCCGCCAAAACTACAAGTCCTACAGAAACAAGTTAAATGGCAAAGTTGTACGTAATAAAAAAATCTACAACCTTTTCATTTACACTTTTTTCTCATAACCTCAAAATTTATGTGAAAAATTCAAATAACCAAGTTTTTGGTTTTTTATTTTTATCTTTTACAAAAAAAATATCTTAATACGTTTTAACGGTTAGTATGGAATAGATAGTCGATACCATGGATGAAAAATAAAGGTCGATACCTTGCTCTGTGAAAAACAAAAACAAATCTATCCCACGGAAACCGCACATTTTTCCGGGATATAAAGTAACCTATGTGTTATTCCAGACTATAATCTATCTGTGTGCCAAATTTCATCCATCCAAACTTTCACATTTATAATAATGTAAACCGTCAAAAAGCATAGACATAAATGTAATAAGTGATGTAAGTGTTGTACCAGGGATGACAAAACATACATTATACAATATGAATATACATGTATCTTTAGAGTATACATAAGCTAGCATATACATATACTCTAAGACGTATCACTTCAAATTTTAGTTATTTTCGTTTACCAGCTAGGTTACACAAAAATAATAAAAAAGTAACTCCTTTTAAATAAAGTACTTTGTAACAGGTTCGGACTTCGGCAATGTATAGAGAAGTAAGACACAGATTAAACAAGAATAACGAATTTGCCAAACTACAATCTACATATAGAGGCAGTGGTAGCCCAGTGGTGACGCGCTCGCATGGGTAACCGAGTGAAGCGGGTTCAAATCCCGGGTCTCGCACCTCCGATATTTTCATGTGCGAATCATTTTCAACATGATTACCACTTGCCTTACGGTGAAGGAAAACATCGTGAGGAAACCTGCATGTCTGAGAGAACCTAGCAAGTTTTCAAAAGACATGTGAAGTCTGCCAACCCGCACTTGGCCAGCGTGGTGGAATATGGCCTGATCCCCCTAATATTGAAGGGAGGCCCGTGCCCAGCAGTGGGACGTTAAAAAGGGCTGAATACAATCTACATATTATAAAAGATACCTCATACCATAGGCCAAACAACAAAGTACAATCCGAGTTCGTACAAAATCCAGTCAATGGATTCAAAATATTTTATTCAGCATTAAATTATTACAATTTTTTACTGAACGCTATGAGTCTTCTACCAGTTTCTTTAATGGTCATAGACAATACCAAGTAATTAGCTGTATTTTAATCTGTTTTGCTAAATATGAATGAATGAATGAATGAATAGATACTAGAATGAACGATAAATAATTGTCTTTGTTTGTTTGAGAACGTAGCCGTCAGGTCTGCACGCAGACGATTCGCTCGCGCTCTGCGTCCTTCAAAGTGTTAGTGATTGTGAACAAAGTTTTTAAAAGTTTCAAAGTATGATAAAACTATTTTAAAAGCTATGTGCGAAAATTCATGTATCAAAAATAGCTATTGGCAGTTTAATGTACAATCTAATAATATATTTTAATTTTAGTGTTATGAAATACCATTTTATAGAACGCAAAAGTTGAGTGAACTTTCGTACCTTGTACTTTTAGAATCCAGCGAATCCCACAGGTGTTAAGTTAATGTTGTGGAAAAACAATCCTAGCAACGGATCTATAATGAATTCCGTATTAATAAACATTTTTTATGTTAAAAATATTGTAATTAAAATGGCAATTGCAACAAAAATCCTAACGTTCTGAATTTCTACTGTATGGAAGTTTTTATCGTGTAATGGAAGAACTGGAACGGTTGATCAAGATGTATTTGAATCAATCATGTGTAGTTTTTGTTATACTTATCTGTTTATTAAAAACATCATCAGCTGCTGATCCTGGAAGTAAGTGTTTTTATTATTTGGCTGCAGTTTAGAATTATTTTATTAACTGTTCGTAAAAGTTTTACAATGTTTGATTCTTGAACCACAAAAAGTGCAGGCGTATGTGTTTTATTATTTATTTTTTAGTTCATTATCGTATATTTGAGTTGGTATATTGTTTTCAAGTAGTTATTATGTTTTTTTAAATATATTGTATACTATAATAACAAATTATTAACATAAAAGGAAATTAAATATGTGAAAGACAGTGATGTATCCTTCTAAATTTTTGTAAATATGTTGTTTATTTTTTATTAATTGTGTCAGTAGACAACATCTTATTGCAAGTGGTTTACGTGACTTATAGAAAACCTAATTTTAACATTTTTATCTGGTACAAAAAATGAATACAAATAAAATATTTTTTTAAAAGTAAACTAATGCAAATATCACTTCAAATGTCAATTACTTCTCAAAAAATCTCATTGAAATCTGTCTTATTTTCCGTTGCTATTGATTCAAGATGATAGGGAGGATAAATTAAAAACAAAAATCACTTACAATTCTCAAACATTGTTTCATGAACTTAAAATATATTTTATGTATTATTTAATGAATGCTTAACTTTCAAGCACATATGTATAATAAAATAGTAGGTATTGTCTGTGACTCTGTTTGCATTATAGATAAATCAGCCAGTGGATACATCTAAATATCCATCCAGCTATCTACATCATTCTAATAATTTTCAAATCCAATGAGCTTGTACCAAGCGCGGATCCAGGGGGGGGGGGGGTCATGGGGGCCAAAGCCAAATTTAATTTTAAGAGAAATTTGAAGTCTAATAAAGGAAGGAATAAACGGATAAACATTTTGATTTAAAAAAAATGGTTATTATATGTATTTTGAAGATTATATTCCCCTAGTTTCATGAATATCAAAAAGTTTCTGTAGAAATCTATATACACATAATAAAATTCTAACTAAGTTGAACCTGTATATTAAACATTTTTTTGGATACTCTTATTGAAATAAACATTATTATCGATAGAGGCCGAATCTATAGTTTTTAGAATTTTTGTCTGTCTGTTAACCGCATCACAGATAAACCACTGGAGGGATTTTGGTAAAATTTGGTATGGTGATAGCTGGTTATCCGGGTCAACATATAGGATACTTTTTACCGTGGGAAAAGATCTCATTTCTGAGAAAAAATACAAAAACTGCAGTGTAAGAGTATACTAATAATATGTAAAATCTAAGAATTTGGTTTTTGGTCATCTGAACGCGGGTGGAGCCGCGGGCAATGCTAGTTACATAAATATGAAAACATCCAGTTTTAAGACGGAGACTTAAAAGTAGCATACTTATTATGTTTAATGTTGATCCATAATATGTTTTAGCTGCCAGTGAAAGTTTGGTGTTTTGAAGTTTTTATAACACTTATTGTTTCTAAAAGAAAAACATATTATTCTTAAACCCTTAATGTATTAGACATTCATAAATTTAAAAAATCCCAATCATGGAAAAGTAAGTTTTAAAATGTATAAAACAATTTTTATTTCATTTAAACATCAATCAAAAAACTACTAGATACACAAAACCATGTAAAAGTTCTCTTAAAACTATCACCAATTGTGTTTACGTAATTAATTATTCTAGTTGAAATAAATATACAACAATATAAATTGGACCTTAAATGTTTTTATTAAGTTGTTTTCACAAAAAATAAATATATTAAAAGCGCGCTCAATTGTTCAA